GACACTCCAACAACTCGAAACAATCACCGCTTCCAGACTATGAAAAGTTAGAATTCCTTCGGGATCCTTATCCCACACATGCTTCAAACTCGGTAGATCATCAATCGACAAATTTCTCAGCTGGGTCTGTACTGATTCTTTAAGGTTTATCTCTCCCACTTTAAACAACTCTTCTACTGAAGCACAATTCAAAATTGCTAACTTCTCTATGGACTTAAGGAAACTTCCCAGCGTATCTTTTGTAAAAATTGTCAATAAATTGTCACAACATCTAACATCCAACTCTGAGTTTGCAAAAGGAATCTGGAGATAGTCGGTTGTGCCATATGATTTGTAAGTTTTTCAAATCGGAGAGAGTCCAGCTTTCCAAGCTGGGAAATTTAACCTGCATACTCCATGCCAGCGAGTGAAGGGGATAAGGATAATTAATTCCGGTGGGCAAAGCCAAAACTTGCAAGTCAAGAGGTGCAAAAAGAATTTTACTTGTTCATTGAAGAAGGGTTGTGCGTCATCTTCTTCATTTGTGCTCCTAGATTGAACCATAAATCCCTCAATTCTGGGCAGTTTATTATACTCAATCGCTTCAAGGATGGGAATTTAACATCACAATTACCTAAGCAGAATCAAAACAAAGTTTTGAAGTCAGGGATGGACTACAGATTTTTGTTTCATCGAGATAGATTTATATTAAAAGTTAATTTTGTTTGATAAAAATTAAAATCACATGCTAACGACGTAAATAAATAATTCAGTAATAATTTTTTTCAATAAAAGTAAAAAATTTTAAATTTGAATTGTATGACATATGGATGAGATGGGTCAAAAAATGAGAAATTATTATTTGTTATGCAATTAAAAAAAATTAAAGTTATTACATTTTTTATGAGTACAATATACAATTCATATATTATAATCTAATAGGTACAAATTAATTAATCAAGACATTAAAATTCATGATACCAATTAATCAATAAACAAAATTATAAATTAAACAAAACCAACTAATAAATTAAATTTTAATTTTTTCCAAAAGAATTACAGTTTGAGGTTGCCAAGTAGTAGTTCCTTTTTTTTTTTTTAATCGGTAACTTTTTTGATGTAGGTGATCCCTATATTTCGTCCCTATATTTTTGTAATTTAACGTATCTTTTCTGCATTTTGCTAAACATGTTGAAATGAGTGCTCTAATTTGCAGTCCTAAAAGTAAGAACTATTAAATGAAAGAGTAACCTCCAATAGCATAAAATTTATCCATTTTTAATAATTTAAGCACAATACTTTTTTCTTTTAAAATAAGTATTATTAATCTGAAAACTAAAAGTAATAACGTGACTCATACCTCTTCCATGTTGAGAAATGGCTGCCCAATGGGGAAATCGGGTCCACCCTGCCCATTTCTTATCTCCATTTCATCAGCACGATTACAGTAAAAAACATCCAACTTTTTTAATTTTGGCCAAAACGTTTTGTGTTTTCTTGGGTAAAAATATCTTAGTCTTCGCAACCGCATAAGTTTGAGATCAGACAGTTGAGGAAACACAAACTTAACCACCGCATCTATTTCTTTACGTCCCATTGCAACGATTTCCTCCACTCCGCAATTATCTAGTTTTAGCTTTTGGAGTTGTTTAAGGCTTCTAGCTACTGAAGCTGGAAACACGTTTTTGATACTCCAACATCTCGAAACAATCACCGCTTCCAGACTATGAAAAGTTAGAATTCCTTCGGGATCCTTATCCCACACATGCTTCAAACTTGGTAGATCATCAATCGACAAATTTCTCAGCTGGGTCTGTACT